AAATGACCTGTAATTTTGGGAAGTCACCTCCATCCTGGACGCTAAGATCACACTTGGGTATCAAGTCTTCCCACTATCAGATTTTCATGGCGCACCTACAGGAATGTGTATTTAAAGCTGGAACAACGTACTCAGATGTGGTTGACGCCAATACCCTGGTGTCTTTCAATGCACTGCTGTATGAGATCCTTGGATTAATTAACTACCAACTACCGAAGGAGTGAGATGAGCCAAATGGTCTCTTCTCTTTTATAACCCTCCATCTATTCTTACTCACCACCAGGAAACGGGATGATTTTGTCTTCTGGCCTTCATGTTTAACCTATGGCTTGTGTTCCCAGATCTCAGTGAAAACACTATCATGGTCACTCCCCTGTCCAGAAGCACATGTGTGTTTCTCTCTACACATATTCTGAGACAGCATTGCGAACACTGAGCAAGAGTGTCCCATCCAGCTTGGGATGTAGAACATAATGGATAAAACAAGGAAAGGAAAGAATAAATATTAAGATAACTGAGGAGCTGACAAAACCTTCTTCAGACAGTATCAAGATCCAACAGGTTTTATTTGGCGACACCATGTATGCATTGATGGTTAAAATATAACTATAATTCTAAGACCCAGAAAAGGTTTTCTGACCTACGGTTTTCAAGAAGACAAATGTTTAGCTGCAATGCAGTTTACTGAAATCGATAGGCTTTTATTCTTTGATAGGCTTACATATGGATAACCTGACTGTTTTTTTATTACATCTAATAGTTAAACCATTAAACATCCAGGGTCTTTTACATTGCAATTAATGCTGTGTTTGCAGAGATACTGTAGGGTGCTTGAGTTCATATGTAATCTCTTCTCTGTTCTGATAAGCTGTGAGTGGTGCATTCCCCTCTGATCATTCTATGATTGTAAGAAATTACACAATGACAGGTCCATGTTCAGTCCATCTTGTTACGTTGAACGTGAGCTGCTTTCTGACTGAAGGGAACTGAATTCAACATCATATAAAGGCAGAGCGTTCCCAATACCCACATCTATTAGGCAAAGAAACATTTTCAGTTTGGATTTTAATTACGCTTGCAACCTTAGTTCCTAGATTCACCACTCTGTATGACATCTACAAGATCTTTCCTTTTCAATACCTTTAAGGATGTTGGGTGGTGGTGTGGAACAGGGGTTATACTGCCTTTCCTGGGCAGTTACAGTATGTTCTTTGTGTAACCTGGTGATCAGTATTTTGAATGAGGTCTTAACAGTGCATTGTAACATCTCAATCCTACTTCCTATGACCATCAAACGTACGACTCCTGTATCGTGCACAGGCCATGTTCAGCACCACTTTTGCCTGCAATAAGTGTAGCATTTTTTTTAATTCAACATGAATGGGGTGATGATTAGTTGGTCTTTTTGAAAACACGAACATGGAAGGCTGTATGCCATTTCGACTTGTGAAAATGGATCTAGTTCTGTTTTGGCATAATAAGTTGATTAGAAGGAATACTTTTGCTTCTAACCAGAAAGTAATGCACTAATTACTGTTTTCTTTTTCCTATATCACATACAAACACTAATTCACATACCAGACACCCCTCACCCCCTTCTCTTACTCTGTATACCCATATTTATGTTCCTGTGCCTGTGTGCATTATTCGGCTCTTGGTTCTTCATTGTTTTCCTGTTCTGCTTTGCCTGCTTGTGCCTGCAGCCTAAATCTGTGATGTCGTTTTATGTGATTCATTGATATACTCACTTCACACCATCACTGCCTGCACTCCTGCGTCCCCACATTTCTCTTTTCCTAAATCATAAACTCCAGCAATTATGTACACGCAACACAGAAAATGAGGTTTATACACACCTGTCATCTAGTTGAACATGAAAGTATATGTGTTTCAGCATAAACTGTCGATAACAGAAAACCTCCAGTCATATTTGACTTCCTAAAGGGCCTAATACGTCTCAAATTATTAAATCATACAATGTATAGCAACAGACATTCACATACATATAATACAGCTTTAATAACTTCTAATATCACTAATATCGTATCATCTATGTCTATCTATATACAGTCTCTATCACACGTCTTTATTTCGTACTAAAATAGTAAAAAACAGAGGCTTTTCCAAAGAAGTGGACATGCCTGTGTGAGGCTGTTTATTTCTTGCTGACGTGGAACAGTCGAACAATAGGCAATTTGACTAGAGAGAGTAGCACAAGTGCAAAAATCATATTCACCTGAAATGTCTTAGTTTGTATATGTTCAACCTTACACAAATACAGACTTTCACAGCAAAATATGTTACTCTACAAATACATGAAATACATAAGACTAAAGCCGGCTTTATCAGCTTTGACAATATAGCTGGGTAGTTTATACCAAATTTCCACAATCCTTTATGAGACAAAGTTCCTTCTATGCTTTGCTTTAAAGCACTTTCTTGTGTCCTATAGTTTGTGCTTCAGTGCTGATTCTGACATCAGTTGGGTTAACTACATTAATATCTTTGAGTATTTGGAATGTACTAGATCCTTTTGTAGTCTTCCTTCTACTTCAAGACTACGAGAGATTATTTTATTTTATTCTGTCAGTGCAGAATGTTAATTTGATCCCAGTAATGTATCTGGTTGCTTCTATAGACTAATTCCAAAGCAGTAATATGTTTTGTAATATAGTATTCAAAATGAGATCTTTCTATTGCTGGGTGTAATTGTAACACAACATCCTTTGAGTTAAATTCTTTTTAACTCTATAACATGACATTTGTTGTTTTATTGCTTCCCCACATTACAGAACAGTGGTCAGTCTTTTATACATAGCCTCTTCCTGCTCATTGTATGTACAGATAATGTCCTCTGTCTGATGTTTGCCCAGTGTTGAATTTTGTGTAAATTTGTTTGAATTTCTACAATATTAGGGGAAATACAAAGGAAATTCACACTGTAAACTAGACTAGTTTATTTGATGATACCAGAATCTAGATTATTAATATAAAACAATGGACAGCAGTAGTTCAACTAATGTAGAACATTGTGAAAGGAAAGTTTTTTTTATTTTGCTTTTTCTTTCCTCTTGATTGGTGATTTTTTTTTTAAATAGAGCAACTTTTTGAGCTACAATAAACAACTGCCTTTAGTTCGTTTTGCATTAATATATCATATAAACATATTGTTCTGCACTTTTCAGTTCTTAACCAGACGTATTCATACTTTTCTTGGCATACATCGAAGAAGGCCATTTCCAAAATGAGGCAAACGTTAGGCATTACTGCATTAAAAGGACAAGGGAGAAAGCATGTCTTACCTAGAGCTGAGAGAGGGGAAGATGGCAGTACAGGCACAGCAGAATGGTTGTTCACCAAGAAACACACTGGTATCCGTCCGAGCAGCTGGACTGTACCTGCTTTGGCTTGGTCTATCAAGTGACAGCATTGTCCTCAGGCTGGTGTCATCGATCTCACAGCGCCCGCTGCACTGACACTTCGTCTTCAGGGCTTCCAGGCTCGTTAGTTCAGCTCCCCGGGCTCCAGCTGTCAGTCAGTGAGTCTCGCACCTGCTCAGCGTCATCAGGTCATCTCCTCAGCTGGGGGGTGTGTGGATGAGATCCATTGCCTTGAGCCCTGCCTTCACACTTCTGGAACTGAAGCCGTAAACATGGGCAGCTCGCTCAGGCCTTCCTTCCACTCGGTCCCCTTTCGACTGCTCCCTCGTAACGAAAGTAACTCGGCAGCATATTTTCGGTCAGGTTCAGTCATGCATATCAGCCTTTTCCATCTTTGGCCCATGCACCTGTGGCGAAATCCTGTTCCCCGCAGCTCTCCTGTCACCTGTAAGCGAGGGCTCTCTTCAAACAGCCCACATGTGATTCAGCCCCAGAATTCAGACACGCTGCCCGATTCCTGTTGACTCATGGGCTGCTCAGTAACATAATCACTGGTTTAAATTCACAATGAAAAATCGTTTTTGTTTCATTTTTGAAGCTGTCTTTGGTTTCAACTGATCCTTGCCCTCTGTTGTGTATTTGAAAATGCATTAACAAGGTGTTGCTGTTTTCTTCTGTGTTAACCTTAATGAACGTTAAAAAAACAGGAAGGCTGTGTCTTTTCATTTTAGAACACTTTAGGCCACACATGATGTCTTGGGTAATTACAAGATGTCTTAGGTAGATTTCAATATTTCCAATGTTAATTGGTTTTAACACAACTCCTTTGAGTATTCTTAATGTGAGACACTGGTAAAAAGAGACAATTGCTACTACAAAACATGTGCTGTGCAATATAACAAACTATATACAATTTATATACTGTACACACAAAGAATTGTAGATGTATTTGCAGTTCTCAATATTATTGTTATTTATGGTTATGGAATGCAGTAAAGGATTTTGTTATAGCTGCAGCTGGTCTCAATTAACCCTTCCTTATCCAATTTCCCTTTCACATCCCTTTCTTCACTATATAAACCCACAGTTCACCCTGTAACATTGCTTGGTATTAGGATCTATTCTGCCTCCTGAGCCCACCTTGCCTCTTTTCTACCTCGTCTGGACTCCTTCAACGTTGGTTTTGGATTTCTCGCTCGTCTTGCCCCTATCTGATTTGTTCACCTCTCTTCGCGCCTGTTACCTGGACTTGACTCAGCCTGGAATAACCGAGCACTCTACCTCATCGCTCGCCTTGGATACCTTAGCTTCTGGACCTCTCCTGGAGACCTGCACAGGGTTCGTGAATAACATTGCTTACAGATTTATTATTAATATTAACTAATAAATCTTAGGGGGCTGTGTGCTTTATCAGACAATTGTCATATGCTTTCCATCTGCAGTTGTATTATGTTGCTTCTTAGAGGTACTAGTCTGGGATGTTCACAGATGTTTAGAAAGGTTTCTGGCATCTGAAAGACATAGTCAGTGGCTCTTCTACTTGACTGAACAGGCGTGGAGGATGAGCTGCACGGCTGAGAGTGCAGTAACCTCACATTCTACCCTCCCACTTGGTCACAGCAGCAGGTGGCTCAGACTGGTACTCGTGCATCAGTCAGCTCCTGTCCTGTGTCTTGTGCTGCCCACTGATTCTCTGCTTCTTGGGGCTCGTGCGGACATGCAAGAAACTGTAACACCTGGCTCCACCCTATCAGCTTCTGAGGTCTTAATTGGCCTTAACGAGGCCAGCCTTGTTATATTGCCATGTGGTGTGGTCTCTGCCTCTCCCCTAGGGGGAGACGTGATAGCCATCTTGAGAGGTCTACATCTACATCTGACTCCTGAGTCATGACTTACAGGCCCTGGCTTTGAAATAAATGTGGTAGGAGACCCCTTGCACCAGCTGTGTTGGTGGAAGACTTGCTTTGGGCTCAAAGAAGCAGAAAGATGCCTGCTTAACCCCTAACTTACTACTGAAGGGGAGGATGTCATGACTTATCCTTCCAAGTCCAGTGGTCTCCATCTTTCTGGTAATGAACTCATTTCTTGTGCTCACATGCAGCAGGCAGTCTCTAGCTCACACCTTTAACACCCTCTAATTAAAGACTTGCTGTCGGGAGCCAGATGATAAAGCATATGGCTTCCAGGAATGCTACTGTACCTGTCTGGCTACAGATGCCCAGGGGGGATAATGTGACTTCTCCCGCTCATCTTTAATGGTCCTGCTTTACCACACAGACTTTAGCCTCCCCCTCTTACTCTTCAACCTTTTAAAACAAGGAATGGGCAACTCCAGTCCTTGGGATCTACCTGGTTGTCTTTATCACTCCTTCGTAAATTGAACTAATCATGCAACTTTTTAAACTTATTAATCACCCAGTCTGAAGTCTGAGCATGTCAATGTCTGGAGAAGAATATTACTGTTCTCCATACTTAACCTTAGATGAATAATAGTATCATAAAAGCATTTTATATGTTTGATCTTTACATTTGAAGATATACATTTCAATATAGTCTCCAGTATTCAATTACACATGAGGTCCTTAAAGAACATTCTGTATTGTAATATTACTTAATCAGTCCCCAGCAGTATGGGTAACAGTGTTATTAGGATATCCAATTGTTGATAATTCCTGTTCTGTGTGGAATTGGAATTGATGACTGTGACTGCTGTAATAACGTCTCTTTAGGGCAGTGTTATTCTTGTTAGATGAGCTTATTCGCTCCATTTCTTTAAGGTCACAGAGATGAACAGCAGCATCATTGCTCACTGTATGACAATCACTATGAAAAGGGTGGTTACTAGACCATTTTGCTTCCAGTCTTGCAAGCTCCTGAGGTATAGAAACACAAGTATCTTACTTCCCCACCTTTTTTTAAAAGGAAAAGCCAGAGTTGTCTTTCAATGGTCATTCATATAAAACACCTGTACAAGTGAAAGACTAATTGCAGGCTGTGATCCCTTGATGAAGGCCAAGTGAGTATCTGTATACCCATGACAGAGTACAACATCTCGGCACAACAAGTTTCCTTTCACCCTCTCAGTTCCACACTTTCTGCCAGTAACAGTACTGGGATAAAAATATAAGTCCTGTCTTTTCTTTTCAAAAGGTCATTATGATCACCACACTTCCAGAAACACAGTTGAGAGTTTTTGGTATCATATTATTCATTCACTAAAAGGTAGCATTTCAGATTATGGATTGCAAATGCTGTTAGAAGTGTTATACAAATATAACGTATCAATGTATTAAGTGTCCTCTATTTGATGAGGATATCAGCAGTAGATTAATTGCAAGTTAGAAAAATAACCCTAATCCTGACTCGAGTCTGCAGGTAGATACAGTAGATTGTTCCAATCTGAAATACATAAGAACTATATGAACAGATCGCTTCTCATCAATTTGTAAAGTGTAGTTATGTAACAAAGGTGCGACCAGAGAAACAACAATTCTAATTTTTAAAAAGTCTTGTGGTCTCAGTCAGCGTAGGCTAACTTGCTGGTGGGGAATGCTTTCTTTATATAAATATAGTGACCTTGTGGTAAAAGACATTTAAAAATAAAATACACATTGCATTGGTAGCATTAAAACCTTGAGGAAAAGGTAAATGAGAAATGTGAAACTGGAATAACATTGTTATTCTTGCATTCTTAACAAGTAAGCACGAATAACAACCAATTATAGTGTTCTTATGTGAAGAGTGTCTGCTCTACTTCCCAGAAAGAGGTTTAAATTGAACTCTGTGGTACAAATTAATGATGTGCGTGAGACAAAATAAAGCAGTACTGTAAGAAGCCAGATAGTAAGAACAAGTGTTTTTGGATATCAAAACATTAGTCAGAGAATCAAGGTCAGAGAAGCTGGAAAAATACAGAATACAGTATATGCTTCATCCCCTCATCTACCACGAGAAATAAGTAATAGGTTTATTCCATGCTGGGAAAAAAAGAAGAAAGCTTCAGCCGTGGAGCTCATTGCTCAAGGGTACAACAGCTGTGTCACACCTGGGATTTGAACCCACAGCCTCCCAGGTATGAGTCCAGAACCCTAAGTGCCGCTGCCCAGGACACAGGGGATAACACTTTTAGTTTGATATATTTCACCATTGTTGCACAATTTTGTATTTTCTATGCTTTTTGAAAAAACATTTATATCTCCTCCCCTTACTCTGCAGCAAAAGCCAATCATCTTTGTCTGTCTGTGCAACCAAGGCTTTGTGACAGGAAGAGTTGAAGTGACAACATCCACTGCCACAAGAGATCCATGCCCTGAAGAAATGGTTGAAGGAACCAGAAAATGAAATGTCTCTAAACCCATGAAAGACTCACAGACCTCTTGGACGATGAAAGAGAGAACTAGAAGGAGCGAAGATTGCTTAGAGGCATTTATAAAGAGGCTTTCAATTCCGTAAAACGGAAACAAAACAAAACAAAGGGAAACACACGGAGCCTTTTGTGGGAAGTGAAAAGGAAGTTGCTCTGTATTCCAGCTTGGTGAGGGAGCCATGTTCATATGCAAATCTGCTTCTTGGAGAACTACAAATGCCTCTGATCCTAACTCTCTGACAGCTGCTTGCAACTGCATTCAGGCCATAAAGAAGATTTTTCAATCAATGGAAAAACATCAAAGGATAAAATCGGCAACACCGCATCCATACCAATAAAAGTGCAACATGTTAATTAATGTAGACTTAGGGTCTTACATACACCATACAGACTGTATAAATGTCTGTTAACACTCAACGCACTTGCATAACAAAATGAGAAGACATTAACGTAAAGCCCAGAGTTCTGTTTTAGCTGAACATGTATTGTGAGAAAACATTCTCAGGCACTTTGCAATTTATATTTGCCTACCAAATAGCATTGTCTATTTTAACAGCCTTTTTATTTAATTTACCTTTTTTGTTTTTAGGAAAAAAGCATTGCTCACCTGTCACCTGTAACAACCTCTTGTTGTTAAAGCCCAAGTCCGTTTATGTCACATTTTAATGAACTGTCCTTACTTTTATATACAAAAATAAAGGTAATGTTACTCTTTGGGGCTTTCAGGTCTTGTGATTGTACAGCGTGCTATTATACAAATGAGGATAAGACAAAACATGTCAAATTCGATTTTTACATGTGGGATGAGGTTAAGGCAGACATAGTGTTGGCATTGTGTTCCAGTTTTGTTTCTGAAGCCCTTCACAAAAAAATATTTTTGTGTTTCTTTCTTTCACAATGGAGTTTCACAGGAAACAAATACAAATGTACAGTATATTGGCACTAACAGCACATGTTGCATTTTTATGCCTCTCTGTATATTTATAAGACCCAATACAATCACTGTAGATGGTAGTCTGCTGCCGTGTAGATGGAATTTGTAATTGAGATTATAAAGGTACACACTCTAAACCAAACATTCTTTCTTTTTTACAGAAGTTACTTAATGCTTTCCTTCATTTTGCTGAGAAGGACTGCACCAACTCGGACAATTCCACGATACTGGATGGCTCCTAAACCGCTAAATGGGTGCAGCAACACAAGTCTAGAAGGAAACATCACACCGTTCTGAAGGTTACAAACGAGAGGTGGCCATTCTGCCCAGCTGACCTGTTGGGTTCTGAGGAGCTTATTGATCTGAGGACCTCACCCAGCCCTGCCTTGAAAGAAGGCGGAGTGTTGAATTCAACACCATGCTTGTGCACCTCGTTCCAGACTCCATCATCAGCTTCTAAGACGGGGCTCACACACTCATTTCCTGAGTTTCCTAGGGCCTCCTGCTTTCTGTTCCAACCCGTCGTTCAAACATTTAACCCAGTGAACATATCTACAGTATCTAGGTGTTTACTTAAGATCTTTCATGGTTAATTACTTAAAACACATTTACTCTTTTAACGGGGAACTGCAATGCTATTTTTTATTTCAGGGTTAGAAAGCACTGATGAGTGCATTTCAAACCAAGACTGAAGTAAAATGTGCGCTTGTAAAACCTCCGATCTACATCACAAAATAGACAAAATTTCTAGGTATGCGGAGCACCACATTCTGTGGTTCAGAACAAGGCAACAAAAGTTTCGTGAGGTGAAGCGGCTCTATTACACTGCAAACAAGCAGGCTTGTGAATACATCTATTTTAATCCAATAGAAATAATGCTCTTGCCTTTGAGATGGGTTTCCCGCCAAATTTAACTTCTTAACTCTGCATACTGATCTTTTTGAAACATTTCTGTGGTGAAATATCTGCTGCACAACCTGTAATTATTTGCTCGTACATCGCATTACATTAATCATAACAGTGACTAGTGAGCAGGAAGGGCCCTTTAACGTCACAATCTGCGTCAAGTCTTGCTCTCGCCCGTGGTGAGAGCAGGCGTTTGCAACCAACATGGCCACTACCAGTACTTGAACAAAGTTCACGATTTTGTGCTTAATTTAAAATTTGTAAAATCTGTCTATACCGTCAATGAATTTATTTAGTTACAGAGATTTAATAACTGGTCTGAGAGAATGGGCCCACGGTAGAGTTGCCAACAAAACACCTAAAACACCTGTCTAAAACACCAGTCTGTATTTATAAGTATGCACTTAATTGAATGGTAACGCCAACCACTTAACGGAGCTCAGAGCAAAAGTTTCATAAACTTCAAATTATATTAATAGCAGTCCAGCCATGACACTGGAGAACGGCAGCCTCTGGTTTTCATAAAGCTCTGTTACCATGATTAAGAAATTAATGGATTCAGATTAATGGTATCAGCAGCCAGTGACGGTGCCAGACGTTAGAAACCCAAATACAGGGAGCAATAGCTATAGGGAGATACACAGTATCGAAAGATGACAATCATGGATGAAGAGTAGGCAAGAACCTTTACTTTGTATGTCAAGTCAATATAATTTATCAACAGAAAGTGCATATGCACATAATATAGTGCTAATCAATATTCAACATTCAACAAATTAGTGTTATTAATGTCTAACTGCATATGAGAAATATTTTAGAAATATATCAAATGCAGAGCAGGATATCTATTTTATTTAATCTTGTTATAATTAAAAAAAGAGAAGAATTTAACAACAAAAACAAACAAAAAATTCAACTTGAGAAAATCGCTACAACTCAAGGTGCAAAATAGTCTTTGTCTTTGCTTTTGTACTTTTAAGGCACTTGTGATAGACATGCTGGAATGCAATTTGATATCACATATGATACAAAGGCTAGGCTTTGTCACAGTACAGCAAAGCAGATACATTTTAACAAACCAAGTGTGAAGTATGTGTGTGGTGGAGAATCATTTAGTATTTTAATACTTACCAAACAAGCCTTTTATAGAAAGAGGTGTTTTTAAGAATCCCTTATGTTACAAAGCTTTTATTAAGACTTTTCTGGAACAATACTTGCTGGCAACAGTTGAGTCTTCAAAAATATCCCAGATTCCCCTCATGGAACATTTCAGAACTCAGCAGAAGTGTGTTAACATGTTGCATCATGGGAGTCATAGTATACTTTTGTGGAATTAAACTACAGACACAAACACATGAAGCAGTCTTTTTCTAATATACAATATAATAAACATCTGATTTCACTATCTTTTGAAAAAAAGTGCAATAACATTACTCTATACAGTCATCTATTGAAGCTGTATTGTAGTACCTTCACTGAATTAAACTGCCTTTGGAAACCTGTTTAATTTGTTTAAAATTGACAGTTTGGTTTATGTTTTTTTCTTGTTTAACAAGCAAGCATTTTTATACGCAGCTCATCCCAAGGTCATGAGTCAGATACTTTAATTAAAACTGAAAATAATTTTAGAATTTTAGGTTTTGTATCAGGTAAAGCAAGCACAGCTCAACAAATGCTTTGGAAGGCAGTAGAAATAGTTTTAAAAGTCTTGGTATTTCCTGTAAGAAGCACTTTGCCTGCCATTTGAGACTCGAAGACCTATGGCTGTAAAAAAACAAGGTTTACTGCCTAAACCTCTCAGTAATGTTTATGAACAGCAAAACTGTTCCAACTGCAGAACTAAAACAATATTCAACTATTTTTGATGAGCCTTAGATCAAACTTAATACTGATACCAGCAAGTGACCTTCTTTAGGGCCAACAGCTTTATGAACAGAAGCTCAACAAAGCAACACGTATAGTGAATGAGAAGCATCCTTACACTGAAGAGAATTAAACCCAAACATCACTCATATGAACATCTTATGTAAATAAGAGGAGAAAGAAGTGTATGTTATACAAACCGCCTTTCATCCGGGTACTGCAGGAGGTCAGCTAGGTTCCTGCTATGCAAACACTTAAAAATGAAATAATTCAACAAAAACATCCAAGAAAAAAACAGAAATTACATCTGGACACAACACTTTTTTTATCCTTGTGGCAAAACGTACCAGGCTGCAGACCTGCTGAGACAGGCCAGTCACAGTGCAATCACTGTGCACTTTCCATTTGTCTTGTCCATCTGGGAAGTACTGTATGTATTAAGGGTACACAGGCTGCGATTTCTTTAAATATTGGTTGTCAGTTTCCTGTGGTGTTTTGAAAATAAACAGTTGGAATAGGGTCCTAGATTGCTGCCAGTGAGCAGGAAGGACATAGATGAGACAAAGCAGAGTGGACTGTACTTCAACCACTGCACAGATAAGCACAGTTTCTCCTACAATCAGACAGCATCTGCACATGCATCCAAGTTATTAAACAGGGGGGTGGAGAGTAGAGGCAGTAACATTCCTCACCTTTGCCTTGGAGGGCAAAAGGGACCAGTGACAGACTGGGGACCCAGAAGCTTTCAGACGTGACAGGCATGTGTATGCCTCAGATGTCTTCATCTGAGAAACCCATGGTTCGCTCTCAGCTGTACACACTGAAGAACTGCTCGTACATCTCAAAGGACAGCCTTATGCATAAAGATGTTCAACTGTTTGATGTTAGTGATAACCGACAAATGACCGTTTCCACTCAGAAGGATTTAAAACAATACTGAAAATGTTGCAGCTCTTTTTTGTGAAAGTATGAATGTTATAGAATACAACCACTTTGGGCTCTAAAACATAAATGAGTTTATGATTAAACAGATTAGAAATAGGTACAATTTGTGTTAATCCTGTTTCAGTACACATCAATATGCTTAAATAAGTGTGAAAGTGTTTATCCAAAATAATCACATTGTGTAATAATTCCACTGCATAAATTAAGATGACAGTTTAAAGATACTGTTATGTTTTGTAAATCCTTTTTCATAATGTTACAGTATTGTCTGTTTAAACAGTAGAAACCAGGCACTTAATAGGGATTTACAATGTATCTAATCTATTTAGAGGACACGTAGGACATTGTTTTGCAGTTAAGATTAATGCATAATGGTGTATTTAATGTAAATTGCTGACAGGCATGCTTGTCAGAGATTAAAGTTTTCTCTGAAATCACTTGATAACGATGTGTCCCAGCAGCAGTGACAGCTACCCGGGTCCAGGGGTAGTGCTTTGTCAATTTTTAAAGATTTGCTACCTCTTACTGTTCAAAATGTCCTTTGTACTTTCTCGACAAGCTGATGCGACTGCAGCTATCGTAATTGCTGGCAACTGGGGTGCACCTCAGTTCCGTGTTAAAGATCCCCATCTCACACTCACTCCTCTTCGTGCCAGAAAGCGTTTGCTTGAATGTTCAAGCTTACGCCGTCCACGTAGGGCTGAAATACAAAGGCTGACTGCAAGTGCAGAGTCTTCACTGTCGGTACACGTGCCCCAGGCTTCGGAAAGTCTGACTGTGACAGCCCCAAAACTTCACCCACTGTCCATGAACACAATTCTCCTTTGAGCTGGAAGCAATTTGCATCACGTTGTAAATTTTTCTTACAACAGCAGTCTGGCCTTGGGAAACGATCAGGACGCCTTCAGTCTGAATCACACTTCCTATCCCAGAAGGACTTTCTGCATCCTGTGAGCGGGAACGCTGAACTCATCCTCCGAGTCCGCATCACTCTGTGGGTTGGAGCTACAGGGAGAAGTACACTCGGGAGAGCACAGGTAGTGCATCAGTGGCAGGCGGTATTTTCCACAAAAATCCACAAACTTGATGTGACGCACGCAGGAGTCAAAGTAGACGCCTGCAAAAATGAACAAAGCAAAAGAGTTTCGGGGAGAAACCAAAAGAAGAAATCTGACGCTCTTAGAAACTGCACTGCATATGCAAACAACACTTTCTAGCTGAGCTTTACATTCAATGACACCATTTAAAAGAAGACCACGCTGATGCACCTTTTGCTATCGGTAATGCTAACACGTGCATCTTCCTATACTGGGCTGAACGACTCTGAACAGGAAAGAACACCTCTTTACCTCCGCACTTCGGGTTGGGACACTTGCTTGCTAAATCCAGGTACCTGACCAGGTTTCCTGGCAGTTCCCAAGGGGTGTAAGGGACGTTCCGGGACTTGATGGTGCGGCCCGCAAGCTCCAGAAGCGAGGGAGGGTCGTAGGTCATATCTTTGACGAAGCGCACGACCAGCGGGTTGCCGCGGAGGCTGAGCTCCTGCAGCTGGACGAGACTGAGGATCTCGCGGGGGAGGTACGTGAGCAGGTTGTTGTGGAGGCTCAGGGATCGCAAAGAATGCAGCCTGGAACAGAGAACAGACTCTGTGGTGACTTGCGGAGCCCTGCTCTGTTGAAATGGCCACAGCGGATCTGTCTAATATTCCCACAGCGTTGTGCACACCCATCCATCCACTTTCGAACCGCCTTATCCATTACAGGCTTCACGGGGGAGCTGGAGCCTATCCCAGCAAGCACCGGGTGCTGGGCAGGACACACTCTGGACAGGAGACGAGTCCGTCACAGGGCACACACAGACACAAACACGCACACACTCGCACCAGAGCAAATTCTCCCAGAAGCCAATCAACCTACCAATACGTTTTTGGACTGTGGGGAAAAAAACCACGCTAACGTGGGCAGAACTTACAGACTCCACACAGATAGCACCTCAGGAACTGAAACCACGGCCCCAGCACTGCTAGGCTGTAATGGTAACCACTGTGCCAGTGTTTTTCAACATAATTAAAGATAATTATTTCACTTCCTCGTGTCATTTAAAGCTATTTGATGACGTGATGATGTATGTGTGCGTACATGTGAACTTGTACAAGTGTGGTCCAACGTGTAAGTGTGTTGGGGGAATATGGGGTTGTGTATACAGCTCTAGACCTCTTTCCAGCCTTCTTTACTCTGTTGCTGCATCCTTGAGAAAGCTCCTTCACCACTACTGCTGCCAGTCCTAGAAGAAGTGTCCCCCAGTGTCTCCCGGTTCTGGGAGGGTTCAGGTGCAGCCCTGACGAGCCCAGGCCGAGCAGCACTCACTGTGCGAGCTGTGGGGGGATGCTCTGGATGTTGTTGTCACACAGGACCAGGTAGCTGAGGTGAGGCAGGTTGGCCAGCTCAGGAGGGATGGTGGCGATGGAATTGCCTCCGAGGTACAGCAGCTCCAGACTACAAGACACGGGCGACATCTTGAAATCACCGAGACAAACCGCAAGAGCCTACACCAAGGTGTGTGCGCCACTACAGGCTTCAACTGGGTTTTTCAGCTCCATATGTAAATATTGCCTACACATGGTAGAAGAAACTTGGTGGAGAACTGGGAGGAGGATATTTTCTTGTTTTGTTTTTTTTGCTTATAGCCAATAACATTTTCAATTTGACAGCCCCAGTCTTACCTCATTCCAATCTCATTTTTTACCTTTGCTGGCAGAGTATTTTAAACCTGATACTTTTTTTCTTATGTAGTCAGCTGTATCGTAGCTGCAGGATGTTCCCTGTTTGTAGAAACAGTATCCTTTTCACACAAAGTTGTTATATCATTCTTTTTTTTTGTACTGTAATACTATATTTGACTAAAATGATCACTTCTGAGTTCTGGAGGATTGATCCCTTTTTCATGTTTTTTTACTGGTAAATTTTTTGTTTTCAGATTTAATATTCTGTAATACAGTATACTGTACTTTTGTCAAAGCAATCAGGAATCTATGAACTAAGGGTGTTTCAGAATATATTTTATATTGAACACAAAACATCAAAATATTCTTATTTTCACATTCATATTCAAATATGTGCTAATTCAGACAAAACTGTTTCCAGAAAATCAGATCACATTACACTACATTAAAAGAGAGGTACTCTTAGCTACATTCAAGGCAGTTACTCTCAGATTCCCATGTAAGTATTTATTTTCTGCAACCTCAAAACATTTTAATACAGGCAAATTACTACATTTTTTTATTGCTAAGGTTCCATGTATACTGTGACCACAATAAAAATTCATACTGAGTTTGTCTCATGCAAAGAATAACTGGGAGCACAGAAAAAGGTATCCAGTCAATGACTTTATAAGATGGCTTTTTTCAGAATACAGCTGTATGTATCAATTAGCTACTAACTTCCGAAACAACCTAGATGTGCCGAATGTACTCCTTTCTTTTGTCACCTTTCTCACGTTATTAATATTGACATGAAATGCTGATACGTTTTCAGCACACCGAAACAAGTTTGAACATTTTTAAGGATAAAAGGCGCTTTGCACTTCCAGAACGTAAGGCCATGGAAGAGAACTGAAAGCTGTACGAGGTCCTTTGGCTTAGAAACTCAAACCTCTCACTTACCTGATTTGCTGAGACCTAATAACATTAAATGCACCATAGACAGAAAAGCTTTGAACACAGGCCGGACAGAATTTGTGGAATAATAGCAGCTAAAAGCACACGATTCAGTACTTTAAGCTGCTTATTATACTGTGTCTGGGAATGCAGCCATCCCTCTCCAAGGTTTCTTGTGTCAACTAAGCGTTTTATCTAAAGAAGTCATTTATCCTAATCAATGCTGTTTTCGTTCTCGGGGTGAAACTAGTGCACAGTCTGGCCAGTACACAGGCTACCTCTGTTCAAAATAAGGCTTAATACAACAGCACCGCGAAATGACTGGTGAACCCCTGGGGTTCAATTTGATGTATATTTTAGATCTAAAATGTAATTAGACCTTCATGAAAGTCCAATAAAAGATGAAGATGATCTGATTAAATATATAACACAAAGGCGGAATATATATTTGTATTATTAAAACAATCCCACAATAGATCTTTGTGTAAATAAGTATGTGAACCCTTAGACTGAATAACTTAAACTAGTTAAAAAGTCAGGCAGTGGTGATTTACCAATGATGTATTAAATTCCAAATAAATGTACACTACCAGAAATGTAGGGCATAAGCTTAACAATAAAAAGAGCACACAAAAAGGCATGATTTGATTATACTGCATTGAAAGGCATAAAAAAGGATATGAATGACACTGCAAAGATATTCATTTATACTACTAACTACATGCCAGAGAAAACATGAATACTAGGTAGTAGAATACTGAACACAGAGCATCTCACCTTACATCAGCAGTAACACCAGTGACACTTTGCTAACTTTCCCCATGCCTAATTCCATCTCTTTCACAAATAGTATTCTTAGGTATTATTGCTTTTAACAACCTGTGCAAGTGAAAGTGACACTTAAGGGTGACACTATTTTTCTAATTTACTGAATCTTACCTTCCGTTTGTCTTCAGTATTTTGCTTTGATCCTGCTGCAGTGTGAATCTTTTTATCCCAGCTGAGCACTGAATCCTACAAAAACCTTCACTCCGCATCTTTGCTACAGATGGTAAAACTACAGAATTTTAATTCAGATAATTTGACACCTTTTGCAAAACAAGCTCAGAATAAAAGACTACAAAAATGCAGCCGATAAGTACCTGTTCCCACTAGAGTGTCTTTACAAGGAAGAATTTCATTAACGGTGAATAGCAAGCAGATTGTCATCGCTGCTACCTAAGTGGCTTCTCTAATGAGAAGCTCTTTTTTAAATGCTCTTACACTGAGGTCCAAGGACCTTAATCAGCTTGTTAAGAAGTGCAAAGACCTCCCCAGCATTCCCGGGTACAGCTGTTGTCCGAAAGGCCTAGGGAGGGCATGTATCAAACAAGACTCTGGCCCAGGGAGCCCCCAAGGAGTTCTGCAATGCTGGACCACACAGGCTTTACCTTTGCTTGTTCCCTTAGATCTCACCAGGGAAGAAGCACATCTAATCAAGACAACAAGCAATTCACAGTCTAACACAATGTTAGCCTTTCACCTCTGTCAGAGAAAAGCTCCACTCTTATACAGACAAGCACGCCTGCTACTCACATCTCTGCACAATCTTCAGGGGCTGGTTTGACTAGAAACATGGGAGTCCGGACTACAGATTCAGAGACTTTAAAACCCCTTCGGGAAATACAACTGCAGGTCTGTAACACTCACTGCATTTCTGCAAACCAACTGCAAGAGAGCATTCTTCAAACAAAATTGCCTTTGTAAAAGAACCCAAATTTGTAAAGAATATTTTTATATTTTGCACATTTCAACAGTGAGATAAAAATGTCCCTTTCTTGTTTTTATACTTCGATTCATGAATAAATATCAGAGATACATTATCCTGCTCTCTATCACTCACTTGAGGTGCCTGATCATTGCAATTGCAACAAGGAGCCAATTAGACTATACTACTATGACATACAAATCACACGCACAGCAATCTCTGATGAGATTAGAAAGGCAGAATCTGTTTCAGTCAATACTTTAAACAAGAATGATCGTATTGTGCTGAACTTTTTATAAATGGATGATACTGTATATACGCACTATTGGAAGAAAAAACTTTTGAAGTTTATTCTTTTAAGACTGGACAATCATTGAATATGGCCTAAATGAATGAAACTGACTTCAAATAAAGTTTACAATAATTCCAAAAAACATTTAAATCATAATGAAAGGAGGGAAGAATTCAAAGACCACCTGCAAGGGAGACTCGGAGATTCAAAACAAAAATCCAAGGGGGAAAAAACAAAGTGTCAGATAATTAAATGCTTATATTGTAACTATAAGGCAGGAGTATTAGGATCAAAATGAAAAGTATTAGAAATTCTGTTATAGCAGGTTATGGTGTAACTGGAGTTACTGCAGCATGCCTTGCAGAGAGGAGATGATTGATACAACATTAGCTGACACACAAACATTGTTCTGAAGAGACAGAGAAGGTGTAAAACAGCCTTCAGGCACATGACCTAATTTGGCTTCCAAAGTCTTAAAACCTATATGGGTCTATCTTATAATTCAAACATTTATTATGCAGTCTTACAGAGTGAAAAGAGGGATGTATACATGGCTGTTTTTCGATCAGGTTAGGAACATGAGGACTGTCAGGAACTGAAACTCAAATATTACACAAGGCTAACAAATTCTTCTTCCCTCAGTAGTTTAGCACCTACAATCAATGCCGGTATTGATCTAGTCTTGTCAATCAATCCAGACAGAGAGGGAAAGAGGTGAGAGAACCATTAAGGAACAGTTATCATAATACAGTAAGCAATGAAGTGTACTTTGAACCTGTACAGGTAGAGTCCAAAACAATGATTTTGTGTGAAGCAGTACAGAGTGAACGGCAGAAAAGATATTCTGTTTAAGTACAAAAGATTTATCCCGACGGTAAGAAAACAAAGTCTAGGAAGCTGTGGCCCTAATGGTTTTAATAAACCACTTAAAAATAACATGTTTTTCTGCCCTGACAAACAGGAAAAAAAACATTTACAAGGAAAATCATAGCTGTAATTAAAATGAATTTAAGTTAAACAATAAAAATAAAAGGGTTTGTTGAACATGAGATTGGACAAGCCTGGGGTCTTCAGCGCTTGTGACTTTAATCTCAGCCCAATGTCTTACCATCTTTTAGTCCCTTAACGCCTATCCTAGTTCTTTCCATTTAGGTGTTTTCTGAGCTCAGTGTTTCAGTTTCCAAAACACACTGTTAGGCACATTGTTGCCTATACATTTGCAAAATAAAATAAACTCCTTCTCTGGTTTCATTTCTCTAGAAAAAACTCATGCTGAGCAGGCAGGTGGGAATTTCACTGTATCGGACCCTTCCAGTATAGGAATTCCTAACTCTGCACGGATCACAGCTGAAAACCATAAACGGGTGGATCTTGGATTGTTCCTTTCAGGAGAAGGAAAGGCTTCCTTGCATTGGCCCCAGGGAACCGGTCAGCCCTCCTACACCCATCACAGCCTCTACAGCAGTAAAACTCCGACAGCTTTTAATGTTTAACATCGGGTTATAAAACCGGTGCGCCTTGATATAAATAACTGTGTCACTGTGACACAGATGGGGTGATTTTGTTTTATAGCTTCTGTAAGTAGTTGGCTACAAGTATTTATAATCCAGTCAGTTAATTTAAGGCCTCGCTGCTGGCTTGAGACCAGGAAATATAAATAAATGTCTTAGGGGTGTCAACTTCAGTAGTGTGTGTGGATCGGCATGGTGAATAGTTCACTAATCAAACGAAGTCAAACAGACCATTTTCCTACTATAACCTTTCAGCATCTACAAGACGCAATGTCTTGGATCAGGTTCAGAATGAGTTCTCAGCTGCTGTGTGGTAAATGAGGTGATCTTGGCCGTATATGCCTGTCCTAGGGGTAGGCAGAATGTATATGTCCAACTCAGGAGCTGGAGACAGCATTTTGAGACAGCAGGCAAATTAACTAGAAACGACATCTGGACTGGCATTGCATGAAGCTGGGAGAAACGTAAACTGCCATTGCACAACAGCTATACCATATGCTCAAGATAAAGTAACCCCACTGCCCCCAGCCTGAGATAGCACAGCTATTTGCGTCAAGCACAAGTTAAGAATCACAAGCATTCAGCAACATAATGCACCCTCTGATACAAGTGAGGCCTACTTCACTAATGGTTATGTTTTTTTCCATTTTATTCTTCTCACATAGCATCACTTACATAAAAATAAAAAATGCAGCACGATAATATATTCCGTTGCCTAATAGTGCACATTCCAATGTCAAAGAAGGTATTCTTTCCAATACAATTCCTTCATTTTTGCTGTTGAGGGTGCCAAACAGTCAAATAATTAATTCTCAGTGCAGGAAGAAGCATTTATTATTATATACCGGCAAATCTGCTGAAAACATTACTCAGTTCTCTATACTAAACGCAAAGAATATATACCAAATAACACTGTGTAATTAACAAGTATTAAAGCTATTTTTTTCTAGTCTCAGTAATATACGTCACTACTGTTGTGCATAAAATTTGTTGTGAAACCACCCTAGATTGAGCTGCAGTGAAAACAACTTTTTTGGCAATTAGTGCCTCAGTATTGGGTATAAAAGACCTCAGCTATTATTGCTTAAGAACATTTCTTTTTCTTTACCAAAATACCATCAACATGTCCTCGTTGTGATCCAGCACTTGAGCTGTTTTCCGGTCAAGGTCAAATTCAGCCCCTCCCTCACACATCCCAGCATATGGAAGTGCAGTGGCCTGTGAGCCCTCAGTAAGATCAAGCCTCATTTCGTCCTCCACAGCTCACCTGATACCCCTGGGTTCAACCACAGCCACATCTTCAGCAGCTACAGGCTCTTCCAGAATACACCGATTGGAAGTAAGAATAAACTTTTAATCCTCATCCAATGTTTTGTCCACAGACAGTACAATCAGAAACCCTATGCGTTGTACTACTGCTTTCCTGAATCATTCAAAAGCATCAATTTTAAACCAAAACACACTACAATGCCAATACTGCAGTTTTGGATGTCTACAATATTTGATAGTTTTTTTTCCCCATAAAGCACAGCTACAACTGTGGTGGGTTTTTAGCCCTATAAGCAGACAGTGCTGACACAGCTGTCGAATGGCTCATCAATTGCACTGTTCCCGCATTTCGATTGAAATCCTGTAGGTGAGTGATCCGGTCTCTTTCTCTCAGTAAGCATGACTCTGCACAATCACAGCTAGCACGTGTCTCTTCGTCGTTACATTATGCACGATCAGTTTTTGGAAGGCAAACTTTGGTTAGTCTGAACAAAAACACTAAACAGCTTCTGTGGTCAAACCGCCTACAGCTGTGCGCGTATTTTCACACTATTCAAATCTCTAAAAACTGCAGTTCGTCTTGTTTGTTGGATGCAGTACTCGCCAAACCAAAGAACACACACAAAGGAGATGCTTTTAAGAAGGAATAAGTCACAAATCAGTCGTATAGCGAAAACATGATATTAGAGGCATTTCTTCACCCTCCGAGCCCATTTCGCTGATCTGCAAAGCTGCTCTCGCACTGATTTAGTCTGGAGACGGCAGGTGCCCCTCACCCAGGAATAAAGGGAATATCCCACTTATCTGGTACTGTAGATATGTTCACAGATCTAAAACGAAGCGCTTGTTAAAGTCTCGCAATACCAATTGTCAGCTCTGTGATGCATCTCTTAACGCTACAAGAGAAACCAAAAATGATGCAATGCTTTTCAACCCTGATCTAGAACAGAAGTAGCTCGAACGACATTGGGGAAATCGGGAAATGTTGTACAGTTAGCACATGGCTTTTACAATCCTGTTGACAATACAAAGTAAAACCATTGTCTTGCACGGAGAGTGAAAACGCACATTATTACAACCTCCATCGACAACGTCGTCACACATCTCCTGTGATTCCTGACAGATCTCAAACGCAAACCCTTCAGATTTACCTGGTGAGATTTTCTATTTCTGCGGGGATGGTTCTCAGTCTGTTTCCCCCTAGCGAGAGGGACTGTAGGGACTGCAGTTCCAGGCACTGACTCGGGACCTCCTCAAACCTGTTCCCACTGAAGTTCAGCACTTCCAGGGACATGGTCCCGAAGTCCTTGGGCAGGGAGGACTCGTCCAGCCTGTTGTTCTTGGCCACAAGGGTCTTCAGTTTTGTGAGTCGCAGAATGTCCTCACAGATGAACGCCAGCCCGTTGCTGCTGATGTCGAGGAACCGGAGGTTGGAGAAGTGGCTGACGGAGGCAGGCAGCACCGTGAATCGGTTGTAAGTCAGAAAAAGCTGCTGGGTCTCTCTCTTCCGCTCTTCGCTCACGTTATCCAGGGTGAGGCTTTCCAAACTGAGCCGCGACAAATCCAAGACGTTTTCCCCGTCTGCTCTTTCGGAGACCTCCATTTTCCAAACCAAAAGTTATTTTTTGCCCTCCCGTGAGTTTCCTAGAAACAAGAACGATTACTGCGTTGCAAGGGAAATAATGTTGAACTGTAACTCTCACAACTGCTTCAAGAACCTGTACCAGTTCGCCAATGCGTTAACCTAAGTAAAAAATTATTCAAGTATCATAAGGCATTGGGGAAAATACATTTAGTTATACTAATAAGTCACAGGAGCTGTTTAACTCATAGACAGTAGACGCTTACGCTGCACATATCAATTCATAATACAGGTTCCGGGGCTGATCTCGTCACGTCCCCCCTTCAGACATTGGCTATCTCGCAGTCAGTTGTGAACATGTGGATGAATCTGGGCCACCATTCAGGTTCAGGGTCGCTTTCCGCACTTGTGAGAAGAGGCGAGGATGTTACCAGCTGGTGAAGCCGCGAACATATTTGTTCAGAGGTCATCTCAGCTGTCGAGGTTTTCAGTATCGACACAGGCGCTTTATGCCTGTCAGTTGGAAGGACAAAGAAAATAATCAGGATTTGATTCGCATTCGCGTCCTTTCTTATTTTGGGGGGATTTCGTAAGGTTGTATCACACAACTGCCACGTACAGCACGTTACAAAGCGTTTGCATACAGTAGGACAGGAGTGTTATACAGTCAGCTCATGAGCACCTCTGCTGTATCTGCCTGTCACTGTTACACAAACCGCTGCATAACCCTACAGTAGCTCTGATGAAGCATACTTTCATTAGACATCGCTTCCTGTTTTCTACAGTCTATAAATAAGTTTATATGCACACAATGGCCGTAGAAAACAAGAGTTGTATACTTTAAATGCGGGTTTTTTTTGCCTTCTGCGTGCCTGTAAACTGTATTCCTACATCGTTCAGTTAATTTTGTTTTACGTTGCGCCTTTATATGCAATCATTTCAAATATCTTTCAGTTACTGAACTAAATCAACGACTTCATTAACTATGTTTTCAGATCTTAATTGGTCTTTATTTGATATTAGTACCGCAATCCGTGTTTTTTAATAAGCAATCGATGGTTATTTTCTAACCTTCAGTTCCGGAACGAGCCTAAATTTACTCAATCGGTTTCTTTGGGAGATAATCTAAAAATCCGATTATTAAAGATGGAGCAGATACATGAGTAATCAGCTTTTGTCATGGTTTCGTCCTTACTGAAATAGCACAGAAGAAAGAGGCTTTGGGGAGCACCGAAAGTGTTTAGCGCGTTTTAAAATGCTGAAAGTTAACGTGGTAAGATTATTCCAACTTTTACAAAATGAATTTTGCTGGGTTTAGGGAAGCACACCTCAGGACAGTAATTATGGGTTTAGTTTACAAAGCATTTAAATCAGTATTGCAGTAGAAAGAAGTGTACTTTGTTTCCGACACTCACGTGAGAATAATTATACAGTTGTAATTGTTATATTTATAATCACCTCACCCGAACTATTACATTCTATTTTCCAAGCTAAATTAAATATCCTGTCCACCAGCAGCATTGTCCTGCCACTGAATGTTTGTTTTTCCACAATCCAGCATGATTTATCAAGTAAATGCAGGAGACAACTGGTGAGGGTTTTCATGGTTTAACCCTAATGACCGTTTTCCTGATGATGAATGCACAAAGCAAGCAGCTACTTCATACTTGAAAAAAGTCCTTTTAAAACCAAAAAAAAACAAGAATGCAAAACAAGCCTTCAAACCCCCAAAAAGTCCCCAACCAAAGTGGTAAAACCCAAAACCCGGGTCCTTCAAAAAACAGCTAGAAGAGATCCTTGGATTAAGTAACTCCTAACCACCAAACGGGCTAGAGAAGCTGGAAGGCCTCCTCGTACCTGTGAACTTCCTAAGGGTTTAAGAAACCGGGAAAGCCAATAACGGGCCAAAAAAAACAAAACCCAATTTAAAAAGGTTTAAAACAGACCCCTCAATCAACCGTTGTCAAATGTGTTACATAAGCAAGATGTTCGAGTTCCAAAGTAATTCAGAGGTTGTGTTGAAGACCTGAGAAGCCTGTTGGGTTTGATGCCTGGAAGTATTTGATTCGGACACTTATAAAGTGGTCTTACACCTTGTAAGTAATAATACAGTATTTACATATTTTTTTATCTATTGTCTTTAAATTGCCTCCCTTCTACATGGAAGCCAGAGCCTGGACTGGCCTTTTAAAGATTTTATTACATTTGTTTTTTCTGATTCTGTCCTATACATTCCGTTCAATTCTTGAATTTAGTGAGTCGACACACTTACTCAGAGCCGTATTTGGATGGATCGGATGTACATGAAAATGAACGTATCTTTTGGCCCACCAGCGCCACACAAACTGATGTCTAACAGGAAGGCTACACAAAACCTTGAGTCACACTACACAAGGCGTGGCATCCATGCTGCTGTGTCCAGATGAGGTGTTGTTCTGTTGGAAAGATGCTTCTCTTTCTTTTCACCAGACTTGACAATTCACGTGTTAAATAAACTCACAGCCTGAGATATAATAAATCAGCCAATTTGTAACTACCTTCATTGCAGTTGCTGCCTCATTGTTAAAAAATGAAAGCCTTCTCTTTGCATTGTGTAAGTATAAGAGCTGGCCATTAAAGAATTTTGTAGTATTTTTATTGGCATGTATACCCCAAATAACCTGTAAGACACAAAGCAGTAATAAAAATAAACAGTGAGTAAACAATGTAGTGATAGCTTTTACACGTATACAAAACGGTTTACATGCTCACAAGACAAAAACGAAACAAATTTAGACTATTATAAGGTAATACTGCCAGATACATTTGTGCTGTTTAAAATATCCTAGGTGGGATCTAACACTCAGTGGAAAAACGGCCATCTTTCTTACAGCTGCTGATTTTGCTTTTGATGGCTTTAAAGGAGTTTTTCTTCTGAAAACACCCCCTGCTCTTCCATGATTGTTAAGGCACTGATTCTGCACGCGGTACAACTAAATTGTCAATAGGATCGTGTGAAACTGAACTATAAAATAACTACAGAATTTATGCTTCTAGAGATACTGATTCTACTCCACTGATAGAGATTGAAAGAAAAGGTATATTGTCGTTGCTGGGTCCAGAGTAATGTATTACCTGGAGTTATACAACATCATTCAACTTCAGGCTTTGGTTTCAGTGTCTCCAGCTCGTTCCCAGTGCTTTACAATGACTCAGCGGCTCAATTTACGCCCCACAGGCTGACACTTTTGCTGCTCGTTCTTTCATTGTGCCAGGCACTCCTGACATCCCAAATCCACCCACAACCTGGACGTACAACATCTGTGTCTGTTATTATTCATTCCCTGCAGGAACGTTCCCTCCCTCCCAGTAATTGAATTCCATCATTTCATCCTCCATCCATGATTTTTCTGAGCCCATTCACAAGCAGCAAACAAATCCCATCTAGTGCCGAGACTCCTTTTGTTCAGATACATACTTTCAATCTGTCATACATTGAAAACAACAAAAAACAGACAGCAGCGTTTCTAAAGCAGATGGCAAAACCATGATTCAGATTCTCTCAGTACACAGACATGTTGCAATCAGGTTAATCACCAGTCAGCCCAGACTAAACAGAAAGGATGGAGCAAAAGCCAATAAAATTGATTTCCATCGTTGCTATTAGGTGAAATAAACGAACAATGTGCAACACGGCTTTCAGATGAAACTACTGGAAAGCGACTAATTGCTGCACTCTGAAGAGGAAGAACACCAGGGAACACAAGTGGCACATTCAGAAAGTGGTATCATGCCGGTTTTACAATTCTGTGCATTTACACATCTTACACTTTATGAGTATGTCCCCATTTGTGAAAAGCATGCATTTTTATTGGACTTCTTTAAGACTGCAGTCTTGAGTTACAATAAAGTTTAAAATAAAAAAGACTAGCTTTTGCAAAAACATGTTCAAGAATACTATAACAACTTAAAAATATAGCACCTTTATGAAATGCCGAAGGAGTGCTGTTCATTTTACAGGGAAAAGAGCTGTGCCTCGTTAAACTAAGTATCCCACATAGCAGTGGACCCCAGTGTGTTTATGCTGAATAAGGTCTTGCACCGTTAAGAGTTAACTAGGAGTTGAACCAAAGTTGTGCAAACTTTGGGATGGTTCTAAAATTTCACAGCAGTGACAACTTCATACAGCGCAGCTAAACAGCTGGGGATGATGTTTGCAAAACTCAAAATATGTCTTTCATCATTTGTTCTAGGTTAAATTAAACATACAAATACTTATCCTCTCATTGAAATACAGTGCATTCAAGCATGGTTCTGTACATGCTTACAAGCAGTACAAGCAGTGCTATTATGAATACATATGCCTGGCCCATTTTGTGAAAAACAAAACTGAGCAATTCAGCAGATACATATAAAACGTATATTATACTGGTAACATTCCTCGTTGTAACATGATTTTCCCAAATGTGATGTTATTCTCTAATCTTATATGAGTTGTATGTTAATATGCTTTTCAAGGGCTGAAATTGCCAGTTCAAATCCAGCTGTGCCAGTCATGGACTCGTGGACAGGAAGGGCCTAGCTGTGAAAACTGTACTTTTCTAAGACTTAATTAGAAAAACCCTGCTCCCAGTGACCCTTATTAACTGTACTTAAGAGACTAGACATCATGCTATTGTCCTTAGTAACGCCGTACGGTTCAAATCCAAATCCAGCTGTGCAAGTTGAGATGGCAGAGCCTGCAAAGCACCAGTCCTTCCCTTCTTTTGCCCTCTTGTAGCTGTTGAGAGTTACTTACGGCAGCTGTTTTACAAAAAAGACACTGCCCTCTTTCTGCTGAGGCCAGCAGTGGTACAATCTAAAGGCTACAGCACCCTACATACAACAATGTTGGATTGCTACCCCACGTATAGCAATCACAGCAAAAAATAAACATCGGAATACAAAAACAAAAACACACACAAAAAACTACAATGTATTTTTTTCGGCAACAGTACGCAAGTCAAGCATCAGCCTGATCTTCATGAAGGAAAAATGTGAGGATGACTGGAGAGCTTTCCCATTTCCTCTTCGCACGCCTGTGCTCTTTATTTCTCCTTTGTGCTGGATTTCTTTGATTTCTCCACTGTTTCCTGTAAGACAGAGATGGGCTTTTTACACATTGACTGATGATCAGGCACACAGAGACTAGACATTGAAAGGGAGATACCTTTACATTTAGAAACCATACACAATGCTACAATGCCATACAAAGTAATGGGAGGGTTAATCAATTATGGAGCCAATGTTTTATCTTATGTAAGAAATCAGCAGTGTTTGTCTGCAGGAGAGCAGCTCCAGACAGGATGTTAGAACTCTGTCACTGGAGTTTAGCCTTGGTGCCACAGACCCCCACACCTGCTGGCTTTATACAAACATTATTAACCAACACTGACCACTTAATGTCGGCCGTAACATCTTGGTTTACGGCCATTATTAACCAAATATCACAGGTATTACATGTCTCATCCTCTGAGTTCTGAAGATACTCCTGCGCTGAAGATCTCAAATTTACTTAAATAATACTGCACTGAATTGTCTGTTACTTGTCACAGTATTGTTTTTCTTATACAACTCAAGGTTGAAATCTCCAATTGCCATTTTTTACATAACCAACTAATTTGGAATCACCAGCTATGTCTTCACTTTTGTATCTTAATGTGAGGACCCCTGTAGCCATGTGGGGAGAACCAGAGCTCCACTGACCTCCCAACTCCACCCCTGGAGCTGAGCAGAGTCAGCTGGGCACCACTACTGTGGGAATCCCATGAAATCCCATGAAAGTCCGGTAACGACATGAGCTAGGCTCAAACACGAGGCGACCGGATCATAAGAGCCCAACCTGTGCTTGGACCATGAGCCTTTATCGGTTCAGCCCGTCATTCAACCCCAAAGTGAGACAGTACCTTTAAGAGGGATCACTTTAAAATAGTTTTTGTTTAAATTTAAATTTGTATAAGCCTGAAAAATACAATTTACAATACAGTCAAGCTCACAAATACTCAGTTTATGAAAAATACTTATAACTAAATAAATATTGTGAAAGATTTTTTAGTTTTGCTAGCCACGCACGTTTAAGAACTTGGGAGTTTAAGAATCTCCCCGAGCTCTGAGGCCTGAGTGTGTTTTGTGTTGCCTTTTTATTTCCATTTCTTGTTTTGGTTGGCTGTTCCAGCACGGTTGTCCCGGCAACACTGACCTGGTGTTTGTTCAGCTCCTCCACCCTGCGGGTCCATTCCTCCTCCGTCATCTCCTCCTGTCCGGTCAGGTCAGTGTCCTCCAGAGGGGCTGTCTTCTTATTTTGTCCTGTGGGCACCCCGCAGAAAAAAAAAAAAAAAACCGGTCCGCTCGGTTTTCAGAACTAGAAATGTTAATCTTGTCAGCGGGCGCCTGCTCAGAATGTCCAGAATAACACAGAGCAGGAGTCATGCCAGCTGTTCTGCTCCATTGCTGCCCCTGAGACAGCAATTTTCATAGGTGTAAATGCAACAAAACTACCACTAAAGCACAATATACTGCAAGCCCACTTCGAAAATTATTCAGCTGGAAATTTCAGAGTATCCCTTTGACCTTTAAGGTTTGGTCTTTATATGCTGAATGAGCAGTGAGAGATGAAGTCCCCAGCTAAACTGGCACAGGATAGTTGAGCTAATTCATGGTTGCCGAGAACAACAGTCCGCTAATGTGAATATTTTAAATAATCCGAAACCCTAAAGATTACATCTGAATATTACTTTTGGATTTTTGTTCCATAAAGGTAATATGAAATTTTCTAAAGCTTCAGAGCAGCAGAAAAAAAAAAACAGAGCAATTGGGAAATTGCAAGTATAACTGCGGGTCTGACTGAGGGAATGAGATTTCATCAGGAAATAAGCACAAAAAAAATGGAGTCAGTAACACCAGGGCGGGGAAACTCTGGATTTAGTAATATAGCAACTTCACTCATTCAATTTTTGGTGAGTCACAGTCTCATCAAGGTCTGCAAAAGAAAGTATGCCGTACCTCAGGCTTGTAGATAACTGTCCTTACTTACCGTCACAGGTCATAGCAGTGCACACCCAGTTCCCACAGGCACACACGCAGCGGTTACACTCCACCTGGGTCTCTGCCCCATCTTCAAAGGTCTCGTCCTCCAGGGCACATTCTGGGCAAAGGGGAGGAGACCGAGTCACACACACGTCTGCTGTGGTATGAGGGGGTGTTAACTCTAGGACACATGCTCTCATGTTCTCCAGTTAACTTTTCCAGTGAACGTGAAACGGCAGGGCTAGCACAGTAGCATTCCAGTTTCTACACAGCGTGATGGCTCCAGTGAATCCCATACCCGGAAAGTTTTTTTTTATCAGATTTTGGAATGTTTTGGAAACTCCGCAGCGTGCTGTTTCAGAACGCCACAGCATCTTAATAACTTGACTGTATCGATTTGGACTTTAGCTGGCCTAATTTCTCACTCTTTTCAAGTCACAAAAGATAACTCTAAGGTACAATCAATGAATTTTGTGATCCAGGTTACGGATCTGGTCTCAGTCAGAGAAGCAGTAAACAAACAGTCGCTTTGCAATTTGACAATATGTCCCAAAGTGTACTGTTCCTGGGTTTGACAGTAACATCCGCCTGAATAAAGGGACATGGTGACTCAGAGCCTGACCTACCATCACCAATGGGTGCACACTTGTCCAGGGCAGGGTGCACACACATTCACTCACACACAAGCACAAGGACGGTTTAGAGACATTTCTTGTCCAAGCCAGCCTACTGTATATCTAGACTGTCTGTGGAAACCAGAGTACCCGGAAAAAAGCCTCACTGCTGTAGGGAGAACATGCAAACTCCAAACCGAAGTCAGCCCAGGCCAGAATCGAATCCAGGACCCAAGAGCTGTGAGTCGGCAGGTTCACCACTGAAGGTTATTTAAACTTAAAGTATTTAATGCAGCTGACCACAAATAATTAATAATTATGCCACCCACTCTTCTGAGTGGGGTTGAATCCAGGCTTGAAGCAGTTGAGGAACTCGTTGAAACTCAGTTTCCAGTCAGCGTTTTCATCTGAAAGTTCAATGAGTGCGTCTACACACAGGCTCCTAAGGGGGAAGAAAACAGAACAGCTGGAACACAGAAGGAATCCAGACAGCAGACATGGAAAGTCTAACAAACCCAGCAGTGCTTATAAATCTATAAATACAGAATTCCTCATATTTGCCATCTAATCCTAAACCATTGACACTGAGCTGTCACATGGATGCTGCAAATAAGTAGAACTGTGCCACAGAACACCTGCTCTCTTTCTACCCCCCAAATAGACATTTGGCAGTAATGCAACTCTGTTATGTTTGTGCACAACTCTCAATCTCCCCACAAGGCCAGCTTTGGCAATGAGCTCCGACAACCGAAAAAGCACAGGATTAAAACATGCGTCCCTAGTCTGACTGTACAAGAAAGACCTTGCTCTGTCTGCCAACAATGCAGGTCAGCTGACAGGGGCAAATAAGATGTGGCCTTTCTGTGGAGTAGGACCAGTGACTGGCTCAGTGTCTCCTAGGAACAAACAGCAGGCAGCAAGAACTTTAGGAGGCTCCCATCTTTGTGATTTGTTTGCTTTGAAAAATCATTTAATCTCTGCACATCACTGGACAAAAGATCCACCTGCGGTTTTGTGAAATGCTACAAGAAAAAACGTTCAGTATTATGATCTCCTTGCGAACACCCAAAATATTGTATGTCCAGTTGAGTTTTGATTAGAAAAATACTGCACCAACATTACACGAAAAATTAAAACGTCTGTTTTTGACTGCTATACTGGAGAATGCAGAGGGGTCGTGTTGAATGATGTAGTTTTGGGTATTCTGTTAAATGAATAAAACAGTTAACAACAGCTGTTGGGCTTGAACAGCACTCTAACATTCTGTTAAGCATAGGTGCATACATAGGTGTTTTCTAATGTTTTGAGTTCTTCATTTCAATCCAAAACAGAAATCAAGGTGATGTCTTCACCATCTGCACAAAGAAGGGAAGACATATGGTAAGCTTCTGCTATGTAATAGCAGATATTGCCGTAAGCTGTGAGTCAACAAAGTGAACTGACATCTTGGAAGTGCTTGCATTTATATAAATTAATACTGTAGCTCATTAACTCATTACTTTCTATATCATGGAAGTAGAAATTCTAGGAGCAGTGTATACGCACTTGTAAAAACAAGTACTAACATACTGTATAACTGTATTTTCCAGAACTAACAGCTTAAGAAACAGCGGCAAAACGACTTTGCTTTCACAGCTTGACAGGAGAACCTAAAGGGAATTCTCAATGAAGAAACACACACCTGAGAAGACGGTTGTTCTCCTCATCCATGTATGAGCTGATGTTGACAGCAGTCTCATTGTGCTGAATGAACTTCAGGAACTCAGCTGAGTCCATCTGGGAGTCACCATCATCATAGGTCTGAAGAAAACAGAGAACAGTTCCTTTGTACAGTATTTGGGCATGAGGAAGGAGGGCTCTGCAGCTGTACACAAAACAGAAAGACGTAAGTAATAGGTTTACTCCATGCTGAAAAAAAAAGAAGAAAGAAAACACAACGTTTCAGCCGTGGAGCCTTCTTCAGGTGACACCTGAAGAAGGCTCCTCGGCCGAAACGTTGTGTTTTCTTTCTTCTTTTTTTCAGCATGGAATAAACCTATTACTTGTTCCTTACTTGTAGTCTACGCATGCTGACACAGCTACCAAAGTGAACTAAAACAGAAAGACATGTTTGACACATGGGTAATGAAAAGTCCAAATAAAGATGGCAGATCCTTAGTACAAGCCTTTATTGGAATCGTATCAAGGTGGAAGAGCTCCCAATAATGTTTCCACATTTATCAGCAATTAAAAACCAGTCCTTGCTCCCCATGATAAGTTTCTTATCAATTTTTTTTGCAAGCATGGAATCTGTACTTTGAAATAGAAGGAATGTATTTATCGTCCTGGTTATCCTGGATTGGAAATATCTGGTTTTGAACAGGCTGAGAGATCAAAGTAACAAAGCGCAAACACTCAGCATAAGGCAATGTGTTTTCAAAAGCTTTTTTCTTTTTTTTTCCCCAAAGGATTTGCAGTCACCCCAGGGAAAGACAGCTGTCTCCATTAACCAATAATCCTTCTGGAGAAGGAAGATAATATTCTAGTAATGCTAAGTTGCAGTATATACAGTATACACATAGTACAAAAACATACAACCGTAATATATACCGTACTTCATATGTTTGGAACACAAGTAGAATATGTCGTATGTTTGTCAATACCATTCTGATCAACAGTCTGTTATTTCTAAAAACAAAAGCAGATACAATCTTTAAAATAACCATGGTGTTATTGGGTGACTTTGGAAATTCCAGTGGCCGCAAATGGTTCAATTCTTAACAGTCTGTTGCTAAAAAAGAAACTCTCTATTCATTAACTTGTTGCCATTTCTTAAAGAGGCTTAGAGCTTTGGATGCAGAACAGTTGCTTGGTGACAGAACTCATTAGATTCAGGGCTACCAAAGAAATCTTTCAGCTTAAGTGTTTCAAATGGATAGGGATTTTTTGTTAACTACTCCAGTACCCAATTTTCACTTTAGACAAAAAACCTGAAACAGTCGCACTGCATTACATCAACTAAAAACATGAATGAAAATAGGAAATTGTGGCAAATCTGATCAAACATCTGTCCATTTTCCTTACGTATTTCTGGTAAATGGTTAATGAACCCACAGGTGAGTTATTTAAGAACTTCTACTGTTAAAAAACCTTTAAAATGGGACACAAGTGTTTGATATACACAGTTAAAAAAAGCCCAGCAATTGTGCAGATCTGATCAAGCTGAAATTGTGTGCTACAATTGTCTTGGTCACCAATGAATATTCATGCGATTAAGTCATCCTAATATCCCAGAGCAATTCAGTGACTATAAACTAATCTTTGAAAACCACAGATAATGATAATGGAATAAAATATGTTCAATACCTTGCATGCTACTGTCAGCACTCTGATGCTGGGTGATGTCAGAGTTATGAAGTTAGGCAAGAGATCCATGAGTTCCACATTATTGAAAGGAGAAGTATAAAAGCAGTCATCAGGATTACATATTTACTGACACAAAAGCAGTACAAAGAGCTATCATTCATGGCTATTAATTAACCAGCTTCTTAAGGCCATGTACCTGATAACTCGTATAAGAACAGAGCATATCTATCAGTTTGACAGAGGTTTTCCAATAAACCTTCTGCATATTCAAGGCCTCAAATAAACGAATCACCTGCAGAGACACAGGAAATTTTCTGAGAACTGACGCTTGAATCCAAGAACTCCTTTTGATTTGTCCTCCCTCCCTCTCCCCGGCTCCAGCACCGACCTGAGCCATAGAAATTCAGTCCAAGTAGCATGAAGGCAGACCTGACAGCTGTCAAAGGCTCTCAACAGAGTAACCAGAGGGTCTCCCTATACCTCTTTAACCTACAGCACGTGGTGAGAAACCGGAGTCTCTCCCAGTGGGGGAGCCGCGTAATTAAAAGCAATCGTGGTTGTCCAGATAGCTGTCACACAAATAATCAAGCCACAAAAGGAGGCTTTAGAAGATTTAGAGAAACCGAAGCTCAACACTGAGAAATTAGCACAGCAGACGGCCGCCCCCGGTGTGAGGCATCGCCATGGCAAACCCCATCGTGAAGAATAAGCCGCTGTCATCTGCCGCTGAAGTCGCAATCAGCGCGTTTCCTCTGCGGGACGGCTGCGCTGACCAGGCGCTTCAGAAACAGCGGCCCGCTTCTCGCCAGCCGGCCACGCATTCAGACACGGAAAGGGAAACGCGCGCAAACACAGAGCAAGACGTGTGTTTTTTTTTAAAGGCGCGCCTCCGATAAAAAGGTCCATTTCTCATTTGAGTCCTGTAACACCTTTGAGTTGTTTTTTTTTTTTTGAGTCATTTGAGTCTTTTCACCATTTTTAAAAAAGTTTTACTGTAGATTCCCACAGGCTCTTAACTGTATCTCATGCACCCTCTACTGCCATTTCAATGCGGGCATGGTCTCAATTTTATGAATTCAATCTGCTTTGGTAACACTGTAATTCATCGGCCATGCCAATAAAGCTCTTTGAATTTGAATTAATCATACCAGTTTTACTGAGGTTTAAACTTAAAATTGATGCAGCAGTTAATAGTTATTATTGTTAAACAGTTCTATTAAGAGCTAACAAGCCTACTGAAAAAAGTTTAAAAAAAAAACCAAAACACTAAGAAAAACCACAGCAGCCACAGACACAGTACAATCTGGTGCTATAAATCTCTCGCAGGGTCTGACACAAGATGCTTGTGATGGCCGAGCTTTCTGCTGCTGGTTTGGGAGTGTTTTTCTCAACAGGGCAAATAAAGATGCTGTTTTAACCTGATCTGGCTTTGCAATGCATTGTACAACATCTACAGCACAAGTTCAACATCTAGAATACAACACAGTATAAGCATAAGCTGATACTAGCAAGAGCCGAGCAAACTGTCTCACTGTTTATCAGGTTATCAGTTATTTGATTTACTAAAGTGACTTATATTGCTAGGCTCAATTACATTGCCTGAGTACTGAGTACTGATTCTTAAGGTAATGAATGGCTGAAGTGAGATCAGTGTGGAGAAGAAAAAGAAGAGCCTGTGAGTTTTTCGAGCGAGAGTTTGAAACCCATGGAATCTGCTCTGCTGGTCTCTTCCATGCTGAAAACGTCACGAACGTCTGCCCTTTCAGGAGACAAACCAACACCAACCTTAAAGTATCTGTGGAGGATTTCGGAGAAGTTGGAGCCCTTGGAGAACCACCCATCTGGAACCACTTCGGTCTGCAGCCACTCGATGACGCGGTTTCTCAGTTCGTTGCGATCGGCAAGGTAGCACACAACTGGGGGAGCAAGAGCATTTCTGTGGCTCATACATAAGCTTTTAAAAATTCAGTTTCTTCACCTGCAGACCACTTCGTTTTGTGTTCTTCACCCTTCCTTTCCAATGAGTGGCAATTCTTCCCTTACAAACAGTACCAGTAACAGTACAGGAAAACAGTACCCAGAAACATAAAACAGAAGAAATACATTTGGTTTGAAGATCTGTAAACACTTCTGAACAGCTTAAGAACACCTTAAAATTATGAAAAAGTGAAAACACTTTTTCATAAAGACTTTTCTGTCCTTTTACCTTCAATATTTGATCTTCAATATTTGCTTTGTCCTCTTGGCTTTGTAAAATTATTTAATTTTATTTTATTACGTAATGTCCTTTTTTTGTGTGGTGAACCACTTTGAGAAGACACAATATAAAATGAAGTTAATTATAATACATTTTCAGGGGGCTACAACATGGGAGACAAACCAGCTGCATTGCATCGAAAAACTAGAGTTTCAATGCTTCCAAATGATTCATCTCAATCTTTTAAATCACAATATCTAGTAAAACATTCCCATGGGCAATATCACTGGCAAAGCACAGCCTGATTCATGCTGTAATTATCACCTTGTGTTTCCTTTCTGCTTTAACCGCCACTGGCCACAGTTCTGATTCTGACTGTGGCTCAAGGACCTCACAGGCTGTACATGGATGCTTCTTTGTTTCAAGCTGCAGCTTTGCTGAGCTGATGCAGGAGGCGGCAGGAACACTGCTCCTCTTGCAGAAGCTTTGTGTGATCTTAAGAACGACTGTACCCAAGAGGTCACTAGACCCATCTACCCCATTTAGTACTTAGTAGCTAAATGGGCCAACCAATCATCTGACCATTTCTTGAAAGAAGCCAGGATATGAGCTTCAACTTTAGTGTGAAGAAGTGCCCCTGGTTTCTGTTTTAAATGTACCTCCCTGAAGTTTCTTTGGTTCATCTGGAAATGGGGCCTTTTAACCATCTGAGGTTAATGGTGAGTTACACTGATAAGCAATGACTCATTGTCAACAGCTCAATCGCTCACCTTCCTGGCCTGTCTCTCAGTGAAATTCAGTATTGCTTTCTGTTGGGATTTTCAGATAGAAATCATCCATGTGTACAGGAATCTTCAGGAACCATCAGAACACTTGTAAGTTGGATTTTCTAAAATCCCTGGAGAACAATTGTATTGTTTATTCTGTCAGCTGACAACAGAGCAAAGACTCAGAAAAAAATGTGAAGCAATTTAGTCTGTATTTTTGCATGTGAATGCCAACCAGTATTACATTTACTGATAGTAGTAATAATGGAAGAATGTTTCATACTGGATAAAAGAAAAGAACATATAAACCTAAGAAACTCTGCAAACAAGAGGCTATTTGATCCATTTAACTTATTTGCTTGTTTTAGTACTGTAGTTCCAGTACACCAGTTTCTTGAAAGAGGCCAGGGTGTCATCATTGCCAACATGAATGGGCTTGAGCTTGTTTAATGCTCCCACAACCTTTTTGTATAAAGAAGTGCCTCCTACTTCCCCATTTGCAGTACCGCATGTCAAAGTAGACCAAAGTTAGAACAAACAGGCACAATCAATCCTGGAATAAGAATCTCATGATAAAATATGATAATTACTGTGTTGTACACATTTACACACTTATTATTTTGATTGGATTGACTTACTTGGGCTTGCTGCAGATTTCTCAGTTTTCTTCTCTAAAACAGAAAAAGAAAACACATTTTCTTAGCTTCTTAGCACCAGGCCATACAGAACCATCAGATTTCATTTTACTTGCAAAATGGAATGTCTACTTGTGGCTCACTGATCACCTCAGCACGGGGCGAAAGTACTTTATAAAAGTCAGGGTGGTGGTCCGTAATGTCTTCTTTACTTACTACTCTATTAAGTAGTAGTAAATTAACTACTCTATCTGACTTACTAATCTATTAAGGCCCTAATTTTCAAACCAGATCAAGACCTACCCCCATTTTCCAAGAGCTGATAAATCTCTGAAGGTTCAGACATTTGCTTGCCTGATGAACCAATAGTGCAAAGCTGTCATCTGTGGGATTATGACTGAATGCCTCTAAATCAGAATCTCTTTTAAAAAGTTCCTTAGACAGCACAGGTGTGGAAAGAAGCAAAGTGGTGTCTGCTGTTCATGTTAACACAGCTTTGGAAAATGAGCTCTCTAGATCAAATCCTTCAACAAAGAGTCACCCTAATGTGACCGTCACGGCTCCGCGCGGGCTCCTGCCCTCCGCCACTCCACCCCGCCAGTTCGTCCCACAACACCTGGGGCACCAACGCAACAGGGAACCAGCCACATGAGCTAAAGGAGACCCCCCTCAGCCCAGGCGGCTGAGGTCCCTGCTACCCGCAGGGAGGGCGATGACGTCACCGTGTCCGAACTAGCTCCGCTACACTAACAGTCCAATTTATGTAAGCCTGCCTTCAAAATGCCTTGTCTGAAGCAGACGGTTGCAGGCTGTGCTCTGAGGCTGATTGAGACACGGTCAGGGCACACTGGTGTATTCCCAGAGCTCCTTCTTTCACTTTGCTCCGCAGAAACGTTCAGGGCCTGTTCATGTTGGGGTTCACTGAATGAGGCCTGCCGAGGACAACAGCCGAGCGACACTAGGGTTCACACACAGCAGGACCGGAAAGAGGAACGAAACTGAAAAGTGAGAGGCACACTCTTCAAAGAATGGCAACAAATGACACAATAAAGAAAATAAGTACTGTGTGTGCTACCCACACAGGCTGGAGGGGTCAAATTTTTAACTTCTGAAAGATTCTAACATCCTAGGTGTACAAAATGAAAATTCAAATTACATTAATTTAATAACTAATTTAATCCTAGTTTTAAGATTGATAGACCCAATTAATTCAGACCTTGCATTTATATCCCTCGTTTATTAACACTAATCTGCCCACTAACAAGGATTTATGCACACTCAGCTCACAGCATCGCTTAACGCTTTAATCTCATGCCATCTCCACCAGACAACCCTTGGCAGCTGCTTCAAACACTCCAGGCAGCAGATTACATTGGCACCTGGTTTGATATGGTCTGATTATGTCATGCAGCAGGCCAATCCTGATACAGAAAATATCTGGACATATTCCCTGTTTCGTACTGCACACTTAACATCAGTTCTCTTAGGGATTTTTGTAACATTAACAGTCGAACACCTGTGTACAGTAGATTCGTAAGATGGGTTCAGGTTGTGCTGTATAGACACCTGTTGTATTCAGAAAGGAACCTGACAGCTAGGCGCAGTAAGGGATATTGTTGTGTCCTACATGGACTTCTGCATAAAGGATCAAACGATTAACTTTAAATATACTGGTCCTGAAATGTGTGCCATTTAGGGTAATTAAAGGAGATGTTTTTTTGAGTATATAAATTGCTTGTGAACAATGGTACACAAATCAGACGGGGAAGGTATAATTGTAGGAGTCAAAAACCCCACAGAACAAAAACAAAGCACCTTATTAAATGCGAGAAGGAAACATTGGTTTTGAATGAGGGAGAGAAAATGTCAGCCTGAATTCCAGGAGGCCCCTCTGTTACAGAATAAACCTCCTTTCACACCTTCACAGGGAACAGTGCCTGCGCAGCTCTTCCCAGGAGGGCGAGTCGTCGGCACGGCGACCTCTTCGCTGAGCCTGGAACAGCAGGCCCCGAGAGCGCCGTGCCGAGTCACACCAACCTTCGCAGTGTCCGTCGTGGGCGACCTGGATCTTCAGCCCCGTCAGGCAGGCGTCCCGGTGGAGCTCGCAGTGATTCCGGTAGGTCCTGCCGTTACTGCCACACACGGGCCTCTTGTGAGGTTTGCATTCCTAAAGAGACGACGACACCGAGTTACGCCAACACGCAATCAGTCTGCTAGACTCTCGAACCGGGACACCAGCGGCTGTCGCAGCGCAACACTGTAACGCAACCCCAGGAGGAAGGTCAACACTCGGAGGCAGGCTCGCGTATAAGGATTCCAGCACGACATTTCGAAAAAAATCAAGTTTAATCAACCCTTTGCCCACCTTTTCCTTGAACGTGAAACGCAAAGGAGAGGACACTTGGTGACAGGAGTCAAAACCCCCCACAGAACAAAACTAAAAAACAAAGCACTTGGAAGAAGCATTGGTTTTGAATGAGACTC